TGCCACTAACTCAAAGTTATTTACTGGGAGAAAGAGTCGGACAACGTTTGTTTCGATGATAATCAGAATCTGTCTGTGTCTCGCGATGTGGTATTATCGTTTGTATTGCATGTAGCTATGGCTAAAACACCGACCGACGACGTCAGATCGCTGGGTAATTTATTAAATAATCCTTTAAATAACTCTCTTATAGTGCATAGTAACAACTACAACTGTGAATAAACAAAATACTTTGGTTATGTTTTTACAGCTGAGATTTTAATAAATTTGTGAATTGCTCTTATTAAGGTATATGAAGTAAAATTGCAATATGATGACATAATTACGCTTAGGCCCATTTAAATGAAATTGGTTTAGTAACCCAAGACGATACCGTAGCTTCCAATCAAAATGATAGGCCGTCTTTCTTAATACATTAAGTCAAAGGCTTAATAACCCAATCAAATTACATTATACTGATCAAGATAAATTTTACATTAATGTCTTAATTGTGACTTATGTCTTCTTTGACAGCCGCGTGTAAAAATGAATCGGTCATGATTAATCTCAGCGCCATCTTACTTTGAAGCAATAAAATTAAATCAATGTTATCAATTTATGCAAAATATTTTATTGAATTTCTATTTCTTAAACCTAAAAAAATCAAATAAATATAAAACATACAATTTTGTCTTCAAATGGACATGGATTATCTGAGTAAGTCAAGTCAAAAAAACCCAAGACTCGCAAGTCGCTTTTTATGACAATCGAGCCAATATTAAGACCATCGCACTGAATACAGTAGCCAAATCACATTTAAAAAAATCCATTGTTTTAATAGACCTAACACTAACGAGTGTTAATGCATGCGAATATTGGCATTCCTAAGATAGAAATAAAATGCAGTAGAAAAAGATTATCAAGTGACTAATTTTTTTTATCCCTTAACATCAACTTACATCAAACCTGTATTGTATCGGCTTCTGACGACTTATACACCAGATTTCTATTTCTTTAATTATTATAATTTTCCCCCAGTTTATAATAGTATTTGATATGCCTTCTGTAGTAATTAAATAGTTGCCGCTGCTTATAGACCCCGCAGACTTCTGTCGCCCCTGCTCAAGAAATTAAATGTGATCTACTTCCAATTAATTTTGGAAACCTGTCGAATAGCAATATAAAAAGTAGTTATGTTTTAAAATTGATTTCTATGTTCCCACGATTTTAATGATGAATTTTTCAATCAGGTCGACGCAAGAACTGAACTAAAACACTGCTTTTATACATCTTCATCGATTCATCGCTCGTAAAAACTGGCGTCGATGCTATCAACGACTTCACAGAGGATGGGTGTAATTAACAGGGAGATAATAAGCATTGCAGAGAGAAATTTATTATATTTTTAATTAATAGCTTCATTTGAGGGAGCATCATAGGTGTGAATCTTGTATCACTTCAAATGTTAGTGCGGCGTAATTGACTTTCGCTACCATATTAATAAATGTTAATGAGAGTTTGGAAAGTTCGATGTATTTTTTTTAGACAAGTAAAGGTTTTTATAAAGTAATATTTTAACTATAGTAATAAACGAAATCAATACTATACAGGCATATTTTATAGCGTGTAATTTAAAATGATTGATTAAGAGCTTCAAGGAATTCTAGAATGCTTTGTTTTTAAGCGACTATTATGGATTCTCGAATGAGGTGAAATATATGACTTTAATTGACGAAATCGAAATAGAATATTACTATAGTTCTATTACCCATTGTTATCTATCCCTTGTTCTAAACCATTGATGTGTATTTTGGATTCTAAAGTTCAAAAGTACAGTAAAGTTAACAAGTAATAATTTAAAAATCGCAAACCCATCTGTAAAAAACAATTTACAAATAATGCACTTAAATGACCGAAAGAGCAGGTCTAACATAAACATTTTTAACACCATTTTTACATTTTTAAAAGTTTTTTTTATGTTAGAGGGGACAGACGAGCAGACGTGTCACGTGATGCAAAGAGACTATCGCCGCCCATGAACGTCTGCAACTCAGGAGTCACAAACGCGTTGCCGGCCTTTATGGAAGGAGTACGCTCTTTTCTTGAAGGTTGAAGGTCGTATCGGTCCGGAAATACCGCAGACGATAACCCGTTCCACTGATTGGCTGTGCGGTGCAAAAAGTGTCTCGAAAAGCGCACAGTAGTGGAGCGCCAACTATCCCGGTAATGAGGATGAAACTTTATAAGTTTTCAAACTAATTTATTATTGCTTATTAAATTTTAATATATAACTTAAATATATACTTATTTGTAATCCCCTTTTAATTTTCTTGATTTTGATACCCTACTGGATAGGTTATGTTTTTTTATCTCAACCTGTTACTATTTTGCGTCAAAAATCCTCCATTTTGTTTTTTTCTTTCAAAAAGCCATCTAATTATACTCGGGTTTTTGAGACGTATAAAAAAATACCCTAACTATCGAAATCCATTCAGCTAATTCGAAGGTACGAGGTAATGAAGAAATTTAACGACAAACATACAAGATACGCGCGAAATACATAACCATTCCTTGGCAGTCGGTAAAAACCACCAGAATAAGATATTAGAACTAGAACACTTAGGAAAGCTTTATAATTGTATACAACACCATCTATGTAGCCGAACGTAAAACAGCGTTTATTTGCACCCACCCTTATAAAACTACCCCAGCAGACATGGTTTCAAACGCCATCTGCATTTGCCAATAGAAATAGTTTCCTCAGTTCAATTCACCTTTGAATGTAGTTCCAGACGTTTAAGGGTGGAAAGTAGATGTCGTTAGTGTTAGGGGTTGTTATGGATTGAAAAACATATTTATCTTTTAATAAGAACATAGCTTGGACGTAAGGTGCCCTTCACACTGAATGTATATTGGTACGATTTGATACTTGGTAATAATGAAGTTATATTGCGATTTTCTCCTTTCTAAGGAGAGGCCTATGTCCAGCAGTGGACTATTATAGGGTGTTGATGATGATGATAAGGTTTATGTCTTAAGTAGACGTGGAGGTGCATAATTTGTTGTATAATTATGATATAAGTATTAAAATATTATTAAATTAATAACAATGTCAGTTGGAGCTGATTTTCTGTGATTTTTTTCTTTTTTTTATGATAGCGGGGACAGACGAGCAGACGGGTCACCTGATGGAAAGTGACCATCGCCGCCCATGAAGGAAGGAGTACACTCTTTTCTTGAAGGTTTGAAGGTCGTATCGGTCCGGAAATACCGCAGACGATAACCCGTTCCACGTTAACTTGGGTGGTTATCTTTATAATAAAAGTCGAAAATTGTTAAATATCTTTAATCTTACAAAATATTAATATAAAAAGAGGCTAACTGAATAGCTATTAAAACTAAACTATGATGATACCGAGCATGTGATAATAAGTATGGTGTAATCATTCTTAAGTAACCACACACACACACACACACTCATTCACTACGCAAATATATATACACATATACAAACACACTCACACACACACAAACTACTATTATACTAACACTACCTTTTACTTTAAAATAAAGTTGTTTTATATCTTGCTACTAGTTGCTAATCTAGGAAATGAAAATTTCAAGGGATGGGAACCTAGTATCCTGAAACACAGGCCTAGAGCCTAGCTTAGGCACCAGTCTCCTCCAATATATTATATACTTATCTGATTTATGCATACTTTATGAACTATTTGTTGTAAATTGTATATTGTGGTGACAAAATAAATTGTATTATTATTATTGAAACAATAACAATAAATAACGAATCAGGTGTATTCAAATTGGCGATGCCTTATAATAAGAAGCAGAAACGGCGATTCACAAAGATTTGACGTCACGGTACAGGTGACGTAGAAATAACAAGAGTGTCCCGTGCAAGTCACAACGTTTCACACCTGCGCACCTGCCCAACCTTCGCTATAGCACGCGAACCCTAGCATACCTACTACAAAAGTAACTTAAAAGATTAATTTAAGAACAAACGTAATATTTTTACAATTTAGTTCTATGTAAAGTAATCGCACCAAGAGTAGAAAAAACTTACTGCAAGAAACAAATGTTTTAAGAGCCTTTTCGTCTCAGTTTTGTTGAGAGGGTAGGTACAGACCCTATTAAGTTAAACAGTTAAGTTAACCTGTAAAGCTCTTAACTGATAAAAGTTTCTGCTTATTGTATTACTCCTCAGTTTCTAATATATTTTTCAAGTGGATAAATCATTGCTATTTATTCTTTTTGGTTACTGAGACGTATACTTACCAGTCGATAGGTAAAATCTAAAACATAAAAACAAATGTAGCTTTACATTACCTTCCCTTAAAAAGTAAAGTTAGTGAATATATTTTTTTTTTCAGATATACCTAACAGTATTTCTGACTCCTCTAATTTTCTTGTGATTAATTCCGTTGCGGGTTCCAAGACAGTTTCTTCCTGGGACTTCCCGAGTGTACTGACATAACTCAGTGTGTTTGTGGTTCACTACTGTTGTTCCTAGCGTATAGGAGTTACAGTGGTGAGCGTGTGGGAGGGATTAGTGCCATAAAAAAGTACCTAATCGTGATTAAACACTATTATTATTATTCATCGTGGATATCACAAAAAACGTAGCGCTGGGATGAGCGATGCAAAATTTTTACAACTAGGGAAGTAGGTACCATTAGTAGGTATTTCACAGAGAGCTTCATTTAGTAAATCCCTACACTCACTGTAGAGTAAGACAGAGAGAGAGAGAGAGATAGTAGAGTAACAGCGATAGTCTTGTGTTTCTTGACATCATCGATTTATACATTTCATATAAACATGTTTACGTTTCTGAATCATTTTATTCTATTGTTAGCCCTAGTATTAAATAGAATATAGAAGATTTTAGCTTTAGAAAAAAAAGAGAAGTAATTCCAGCCATTCTATTCTAATTTGTCTCCATGCAGACTAAGAACTTAATGAGCGGCTTGTAAAATATAAATATCAAGAAATCTAACATTATAATGAGAGTAAGTCATCAAATAGAGTGCCATTGGCAACTCAGTAAGCTAGGATGCGCTTGAACTTCATCAGTGCACCTGCCTACGCATTCATTAAACGACACATGAATCATAAAGTTAGGTAGCTAGGTACGATGGAAATAAAAACCGTAAAACTGTTGACCGATGACTATTGCGAAAATTCGTATGTAGGTACAAAGGTCCCATATATCTGTGCTTAGATCACACATCATCACACATCATCAGCCTGTAATAGTCCACTGCTGAACATAGGCCTCTCCTTAGAAAGGAGGTTTTGGCCTACTATACCACGCTGGCCAGACGGGTTGGTATAGGGTTTGTGACAAGTTTTCCTTCTTTTTGCAGAGCTGGTGTCCTGCGTTGTTTTGCGCCCTTAGTCGACTCTTACGACACCCACGGGATGAACTGGGGTAGTGACATTCCGTATTCTTAATCCGTCACTACACTCACTGTGCATAGATACTTGTTTAATTCTTTTCATGTATTAATCTTATGCTATAGTAAACTCAAAAGCAGTTACAAGACCCATTCAATAAAATAAAAGATCGGGTGCAATAATAATAACGTAATATCGTCTCAGATCGGTTTACAGCGTCTATTCTCTGTAACAACTTCTAAATAGATGATACGTGCAGATTCCGTCTTCCGAACATGGTAATGGACGGGATAATTACGCGCAACGACGTGCAACAATAGCGGCGCGAGCTTACCGCTCTATGGCATAATAAGCGCCGGCGTATTTTGATCAGCGCAACAAGTAGCGAAGCGAGCGGTGGGGCGCGTGCCGGGCGTGCGCCGCGCCGCCCGCGCTGGCCGCCGTGCGCTTGCCCGCGCCCCGCACCCCGCTGGCCGGCGCGCGCGGTACTTAGCGTCAGGGGTGCGCGCCACCTCCGCCAATCCACCGGCAACCTTCGCGCGGCACACAAGTGCGCTCCAAATATTCTCTCGATTCGTTACACGAACATTCGCGATGCCGATGGCGGCGATTCATTATCAAAATCCCAACGCCGAACAGAGATTGACTCATATCCAAGCCCAGGCTCCTAGGAGATTAGCACCTGCCCCTATGGACACGAGCCGCTGTAAAAAGAAATCTTATCTTCATCAACCTTACCCGACTCAACCTGCCTCTGTTGCACGCAGGAACGCTCGCGAGAGGAATAGAGTGAAACAAGTAAACAATGGTTTTGCAGCACTAAGACAGCACATACCTTCAGCTGTTTCGGCTGCTTTAGCTGGCGGACGAGGTTCTTCACGGAAATTGAGTAAAGTGGATACATTAAGACTGGCAGTGGAATACATCAAAAGCTTGAAGCGATTGCTGGAGGAAAGCGATGAAGGATGTTCAGAGTCACAGTCCGGTTTGACATATAGTAACACTTCAGCTAACGGACCACACACGCCTCCGTTATCAGAGGAGTCTCACTCACCTGCACCTTCGTTTGTGTCTGAAAGCTCAGCAGGACCAACCTGTCAAGACGCCTATGACTCGTACGAGCCTATGAGTCCAGAAGATGAAGAACTTCTGGATGTCATTTCGTGGTGGCAGCAACAATGAAAGGAGGTGAGTGCATTTTATTCATTTTCATATCAAAAATAATGTAATCTAGATGGAATAGATCATGTCTTTGGAGCATGTTACTATGTTCAGAGTAAATGGATTAGATATTGTGTAATTTTATTTTCAAAAGATAACACCGATACTGATATTTTAATGAATGAATTTCAAAGTGCCAAACATAACCTTCAAAAACTTTGATAGTGATATTTTTATCACAATGTTTACTTTCGTCTGCCGCTGTTATTACAAGGTTCACGGTTATCTATTTTTATGGATTTTATAGAGCTAAGTTTGTAGGTGTGTAAACAGTCTTATAACTCGTCGTATCGTATACTATTTTTTTAGCATATCCTTCCCTATCACTCAGTATAAAGTCAGGTAGTTATCGCTAATAATACATTTTTTATACTGATCTTTTAGGCACGGTGACTAGGGGACCGATCCTTTTATATTGCACAATTTGAATGAAGATTCGCGTTCTTCCTAAGCAAAAAGTAAACACGTCTACTATTGTGATTGTGTACTGAACCATGGCATAGACTATCTTTTCATTGTAGAATTAGGCGACACAATGGCACGTCTGCAACAATAGGATATAATAAAATATGTAGTTTTATAATATATGTTACAGTCAAGCAACTTTTTACAAAACGCATCTTTTTTTATCGTAAAAGATAGAAAAGACCCGCATTCTATACTCTTATTTGTTTCAATAGCCCAACAGCAATTACTTCTAACAATCTTGTGGTTCACCCCGCATGAAGCAGGAAAATTGCACATAAAATATATCTATTCTATTAATAAGTAGCCATAACAGATGACTAAAATTCTCTCTTTTTTATATAGGCTCTTTTTTATTGATATCGAGTTAATATAAGGTATCCGGTCAGTGAGATACTTTAAGCGAAATATTTTGCTAGTCAGGCACCATATGGTCCATCCTGATAAATTAAGTACAACCGGTAGCATCGTGTCTAAAAACTAAGTATTAAAACTAGCAAAAAATGTTTTGAGACGCTTCGTCGACTATTAATTTACTATACCGGAAGACGAAATCTCAAGAGGAAATAAAAGGGCGGCAAACGAAACACACGTGTTACAATATTTGCTAAGTTCAATGCAAACATATGGTGATACGTGTAGTATTCATGAGAATTATAGAGCGTTACAGTTCTCGATAACAGCTATTGAATATTAATATATTACCTGTTGAGCATTGACTAGTGTAAGTGAATTTATTTTACTTTTTTAACTATTCTAATTCTCATTTTGTTTTTTTTCTCAGGAACCGTACATTGTGGTGATCAAAATGCAGCCAATCAGTGGCTTAGTGATTATGACAAAAACGAGTAGTCCTCTTGAAGACCCTAGCATCGGAGCGTGAAAACCTCCGACAGAACCTCTAATTAAGCGCAATCAGTTTATTCCTAATGAGAGGGGATAATGGTGGACTATAACGACCCCATCGAAGCATTCCGCTACTGACTGAACACCGAACAAATACCCCCACGGCATTTTCCACATCGATGGAATAGCACTAAGAAGACTGAATCGATCATTTATTTGTTCCACTTAAGCATTTAGTTGTAATGTGATTTGAAATAACGCTGTGCCTTAGTGTAGCCTTACTAATTAGAACTTCCATCTAGTTTTAGTTTTACAATTGTTTATAATTGTTATCTAGTCATTAGTATTTAAGAATAGTTTTACGATAATTTTTTTGCAAATGCATTTTTGTCTGGAGTCATAAAACTCAACTTGTTTTGTACAATATAACATAGTAAATCTTGAGACAAAGACTTGTATTGTAAATAAATAAGGTAGTACCATAAGACAGATTCCTAATATTATAAGATTTTATATTATTATAATAGTTATAAAAAAGATTACCAGTATTCAACCATTAGGTTGTTTCTGTAAGTAAATAAATTCGTTGATGAACTTATCTATTATTTTTATTTCCGTTTTAAACTTACTCTTGATTATTCTAGTAAAATAAAAGAGCGTAAAGAACTTGGAATCAACTTCACTTATAATAAACGACGGCTTGATACTAAGTATAAATCTTAAATTGCAGTCATAAATCTAGCCATACCTCTTGACTAATTTATTCGTAAATTATTCCTACCTCAAGCTCAACTAGACTGCGTTAAGACTCTTCTCGTTGTGAAGGCTGTACTCTAAACCTATATTTTTAGGTCCATTGGTCCATTCCACTTATTGGTTTCAGTATTGATATATCAGATATTGTTTTATAAAAAAATATTTTAATCTCTATCTACCTATGTATAATATTCTGCTTAATTTGTACCTACTCTGCAGTACAAATATAAATAAATTAATGTCTACGTAAATAATAAACTCAATATTTACCGATTTAAAGAGATTATTTATTTGATTCCCTTTCTGGTATGACTTATTTTTCTATAGATTTTTATAAACACTTCATTTTGTTCGTAATTTTTTTTTCTAATAATTTTATTATAATACATAGGTGTTACTTATTTCTAAACTCACGAAACTTCGACGTTTTACGACGAGGACGACGGCAAGAGGCGCTCTTTTAACAAGAACCAGCTTATATACACTTAATATTAAACACAATAATATAATATAGTGATATGCATATAAATATATGACGTATTATTATTATGGTAACTATTACCTTTGTATGTAACTTTAAATATATGAATTAAATACTTACACTACTTATGTATTAAGCTTCAAATCCGATTTTTGCCCACTACTGGAATAGCAAGGAGCTGAAGTTAGCGCTTACACCAATATTTTGTACAACAGTGTTTTGCACAATTTATATCGCTTTTGATTATATTGTATTTAGCCATGATAATGTATTTTCTCCCGCTGAATAATATTGCATTAGATATTATTAATTTATTTTTCTTTAACAGATTATTTCATGGTTAAAATTTACAATGCTATTACTATTACTAATTTTTGAGTGGCATTATACTCGTAGCACTCAAGTAAAAGTTAAAACTAAATATTTTAATCGCTTATTTACAGAGTAATTCTTAGGATACATTTTAATCATAGTATTAACGACGGATAAAGCGCTAATATTTCTTGAATGTTCAATAGAAAAAATATCCTGAAAGTGGGACGCACTTATAAATCACTAAGACTGGACATCCGACTAGGCTCAATTAAATTTAGACAATTTACGTGAAAAGACTGTGACGGTGACTGTGTGGTGGCGGATTAAGAATACAGAGTGTCACCACCCCTATTCATCCCGTGGGTATCGTAAGAGCCGACTAAGGGAAAAAACTACGCAGAACAACAGCACTGCAGAGAGAAGGAAAACTTGACACAAACCCTATACCAACCCGTCTGGCCAGCGTGGTATAGTAGGCCAAAACCTCCTTTCTAAGGAGAGGCTTATGTCCAGCAGTGGACTATTAAAGGCTGTTGATGAACTTGAAAAGACTGGTAACAATCTAAGTAAGAAAATGTTTTGTACATCCTTATTTCATAATAATTCTGAACACCAGCACATTTGTTAGCCGAAATAACGGGTCTATAGAGGGTTCTCCGAAGTTATTAAACCACAACGAATAAGTAAATAGATGGCGGCTGGTATGACAGAATAGTAGCCTGTCAGCTACAATGACAAGGCGAACTTGTTTTCGTCAGAAATTTTGCCTGATGATATGGTACTTTTTGTTTCTTAACTATCGTTACATTCTCGACTTCATATTTTATATCCTATTTACTGTAAATCAGATAATACAAACAAGTTCAGTGTACGGTTATTACATAATAAATTATCACCCACACGTTTAAATGTCATGAAGCAGCCAATGCTTTTAATACACGAACAGTATCTACGTAGGTTTTACAAACAAAACATAACAGGACGTTGCGAAATTAAAATTACAAAAGGTGCTTTTCTACACGTGCCTCAACTCAGGTTTCATTCTGCAAAAAGAGAATAATAATATATGTACTCAAATCGCACAAAATGGGGGGCCTAAGTATACTTTGGCATTTAATTTGAAGAAGACAATCCATATTGCAACAGGATCACGTCGTGGTACACGCCCATCCAAATCAAATTGCAATAGTTATTTCTGATAATGGAAGGGAAGCTCGAACCATTATGGGTGGATATTTCCGCTGGAGTATTAATTGTTTGAACTTGTTTAATGTCGTATGGGACGAGATCTGTTAGATATGACAAGAACTTGAAGAACACACCTGTGAATTTGCACTTTGCTTTGTCGTTCAGTCTAGTTAATTTTCTTAAGTACTAATTATTGTGGGTAGGTTGTTATGCTGCTGCTGATACATCTGTTTGCAACAAACTTGTTATTCGTTATATTGTCAGTTTACAGATACTTGCTTTTCAAATGGTAAATCTAAAATTAAATATGTTTCAGACAAATCAAACTGAACAATTACCAAGTTTATGGGCATAAAAATGTGTGATGTGGTAGAACGAAATACTAACTAAAATATTTCCCCTGATCAACTAGGAGCACATATTTCTAAATTAAAATACTCATATATTTCTAATCGTATATACATACATTACAAGCAGACGTAGAATAAATGATCTAGCTCGTCACACAATATTTGTCTTGGATGGGCATCGAACCTAAGACTACAATCACTAGAACTAAAGACCCTTTAACATTTTTTTTGTTGAGTATTATAAATAGACATCTGTAATTCTTTTGTTTACTTGAGTATGTAATTTTCATCAGTGAGATATGGCAAATAAGTTACACAAAATAAATTTAGTGAATGACTAAAAATAGTAGGAAGCTCGTAGCTCAACAGTAGTCTTTATATTTAGTATTTTACCAATAATCTTGAACATTTATTTTTTTATTGATAGATAAATGGTATCTTAAAGAAGGATTCAGAAAAAGAAAAAAATTAGAGAGACATAAGCACCAAGTAGCAATTCTTCTAAAATTTTATTTTAGTTAATTATTAGGTATATTTGCGTACTGAACTGAACTATACTG